CATATTGGCAAATAGATAAGTAAAAAAAAAAATCTAAAACTATGTGTTAAACATAAATCACGTGTAAATAGCATATTACTGTTGTTTTAAAGAATGGAAATCAATAACGTAAATGTGATTAGCTGAGGTATGTATTTCAGCTGGAGGTGTGGGAGGAACTGCAGTCCCACAGTGTATTAAAAAGTAACATATTTTATATTGTACATAGATGAATGCCCACATTGCACATTGATTAGAATAGTACAAGATGACACACTTTGCTTATTTGTAGTAATAATGAGCTGGGAAAGAATTTGAATTTCCATTCCATGCTAGTATTTTAGTAGCTTAATTTGCTTTGTTTTATTTATTCATTGCACTGCAGTTATGTCGACTAAAGTGTATAGACAACACTTTTTTAATGCACAGAGCTTTTTGTAATCACTGTTCCAAAAATGTCAGTACTTTAACAAGCTTAAACATTTAGGGATGGGAAATGAACTGAGGAAAATCTTTTGACCATTTTATTTTTAAAACACCCTTACATTTTTCATGTGAAAAAATGTCATAATGTCAAAATGCAATGTATAGTAGCAACTAATGTATAGGGAGGTCTTTTCACTATATTCATATAATTCATACTGGTGGAAGTATCTGTGTAAACCATCCCAACGTGTTTTACTGGCTGTATTATTCATGCTTCTTTACCAGCAAAAATTTTTACATTTTCATATAATGCACCTATTGTTTCCATGCAACTAATTTAGAATCCTAATTGTCATGAACTTGTTAGTCATTTTTCCATATAAATAATTGCCCACTTTTATTTTAGACTTCTCAGACATAGATTTTGACTTCTCAGACATATTTATTACTTTGTAAGGTTTTATTTTGATATTTATATGTGACATTCCAAACATATACAACGGACATCAGGTAATTTAAAACCTAAAAAGCTTAATTTAATCATAACTTGTTTATTTAAATGGTTCACTTGACAAACACTGTTTAGATGGACTTGCAAAATGAAATATATTTATTGATTGTAATTTTATGAGACTAATGTTTCAAATGTTTTAAAAGTATTCCCATAGATGCATGCAATTGACTGGAAATTTCAATATGACCAATAATAGATTTCCTGTAACAAAATAAGTTTTATTTTAAAATGAATTGACATCAGCTAGTAGCATTATAGAAACCGTGCAAGACCTAAATAAGTAGCATTTGTATCCATAGCCTGTCTAAACAAACAAACAAACAAATAAATAAATCAGCTTGACTCTACTCAGAAATTGTAGCTGTAACGAAACAGTATCAGATCCAAGTGCAGAGTTAGCAGATTTAATGAATTATCAGGCCTAACAGGCACAAACCAAAACCCAACAATCATAGGTAAAAACACAGGTCAGAAAAAACCTGGAACAAGAAGTCTAGATCCTAATGCAGAGTCAAAAACTGACACAGCCACATAGAAGAGCAAAGAGCAAGCTTAGTCCCTCTCATAGGCTTCATTTCGGAGAGGCCATTATATTACATCTAGCCTAATGTGTTTGGAATTCAGATGTGATGGGGTGTGGTCTAACTGGGCATGGCTGCAGAGACTTTGCACTAGAATTGGCTAATAATTAGGGCAGCAATGCTACTTAAATACATTTTTAAAATCTATGACATCTAATATCTGGTGTCAAATCTGTAAAAATGGAACACCACAAGTTTCAGTTATGATAATAATGTGCTATTAAGGGCAACTCATCAGCAGAACCCTATTCTTGTTAGAGTTCAAGCAAATACAAGTGATTAGTGTTGGTGTTTCAATTAATCTTTCTTTACTGATTTATAAACTTGAGTCTCTATGTTACCCCTTATAGCAGAAGAGGTATTTATACCTCTTTGTAAACTGTTTTTCACAAAGTGTTTCATAAGAACTTCTACTTATAAACAATACATTAAGCTGCAATACTCTTTGAGTAAATTTGTGTTTTGGGGGAAAATGTGAAGCTGACTTTTATATAAATATGAAATGCTGTGAACATATTTTTATAAAAGAATTGGGAAATTGTCATTATGCAAACTTTTATTATGCTGGGTTTTTTTTCCAGAATGTAAACAAGGGACTGTTTTATACAATGTGTTGACACCACTTAACAAAATGTGTTGAATTTGTGGGGAAAACACTTTTCATCAATAGTGAACTGCATTATTAATTTAAAATGTAAATAACAGTATGTGACACACTTTACAGCTCTCCTCCAAAAACTCCATAGAGCACAAAAAATATGAAGTCATGACCTTAATGAAATCATGACCTTAATGAAATCATTACCTTAACGAAATCATTATCTTAATGAGTTCCTGGATAAGCTTCTGTGAGACCAAGAAGTTTCATGGACATGATCATAGTTGATTGACAGGCGACCAAACCAACATTTTTGAAACTACAAAGAATGTCTGAATCCACATAATTGTTTATTATTGCATTTAAATCGATTTTTTTTTTTTTTGCTAAATCATGATCTTTCCCAAATATTCACATGGATGCTTCCCCTAACTGGTATTTTAATGACTGAAGGCTTTAAAAAATATTTTGACTACTTCTGTTGTGTTGGGTGAATGAGTATGAAATAAAATGCCTTATGAAAACAGAAATTAATCTTGCTACACATGGGTTTGCTATAAATCCAGTATCACAAGAACTTATTTTGGACTTTTTGTGTACAGACATAGTGTCCATTTTGGTAAAACAACTTGCAAAACGGGAAGCAGGAAAAAGGACAGAAATCGGATTAGATAAGGGCCTGCTGAATGTGCCTTAGTGTATATTGATGTGAAGAGGATGAAATGATTTGAATGATGACCACAGACAATCACCATGGAGACCATCTGACAAAAAGCTTGTTGTGATGCTTGGCCACTGAACTGCTTTAAATGTCAATATCTTGTCTACATCACTGTATTACTGTACAAAACAAAAGCAATAAATGTAAATGCAGCCAATATTCTTCTACGACCAATCTGTGCCTGCTTCCATTCCATTTCAGTAACGCATGTGAGATAACACAATATGGCCTCTTAATCATAAACAGATATCTTGTTTAGAACCTAATGAAACGATTGAATATATTGGTTGTATTAATGTTCACAACCCAGAACAGGGCAACCATCTACACACCAGCATCATAATCATAATTTATCATAATTTAGGTAGAAGCTGTTGGTAGAGTGCAAACTTATTTTAAGTCTGTGGACTGTATTATTAATACAAAGGTAGCTTCTCCAGTCTCACTCATGGCATTCTGTGCTATGTGTATTACTATGCTCTTGACTCTTTCTTGATCAAATCCTTTTTTCTTGTTTTAATGCAGCTGCTCAGTTTGAGCAAAAAGCCTGCTCTAAGCAGAGTCAGGGTGGGGCAGTGTACTCTGAACCCCTTAATGACTCTCTTGACTGTGTTCCAAAAGGATATTCGCTGCCTTTGAAATCTTTTCTTATACCCCTCCCCTGGATCATATCTCTCTGCAACTTTTGCCCAGAGTTATACGCTTGAAAGGTTTTTGATCTTCATGGTGTCTTTGCCGTTGGTGCTTAGAGACATTCCAAAGACAAGAGCATTTAGTCTGTAATAATGTGAACCTCTTTTATAAAAATGGATGTACTCAACAGAGAGCATTGGGTGACTTCCAAAGGCAGTTTGCTGCAACGGATTGTTTTAATGAAGAATTTTTCAGGTTTTTATGTTCTTTGTGTTGTCCTGATGCCCAGTCTTGGACCACTATATAAATGCTTGAAAATTTCAGGTTCATAAAAGTGGAATACTTCTTATAAGCACTGCAAATTGGCTATGTTTTGCTCAATCCATTTACCCTCAGTCTGAACACTGGTCAAAGTTATGTTGCTTTTATTCTTAACACTACAGATGGTGTTTAACTGGGTGACTAGCATTTGCTGCATTTGCAAGGAATTTAAGCTTATACTCAACCTGTGATTCAGTAGTATAAAAACTCATTACTGCAAACTGCAAAAATGAGAACACTATGGTATATACAGTACAACTGTACATTATTTGTATCCAAAGACTTCCATTGTCTTTAGTCTTCTTAACATTATCCCATTCAGATATACTACATTTTTCTTACCATAATTATGAACACCGTATATTTAATTCGAAGTTACTTTGCTGTTAATATCTGCTTACATTTCAGAATTTCTCATTCTCATTTGCAGATGTTTTAGGCCAGGTAAGAAAAAAATGAATAATAATTTCAAGCAAATTATAAAATCTAAAAAGTGCTTTTATTCCCAGACTAAGAGATATAGTCAGGGGTGAATAAATTGCAAGACTTTTATACTATATATCCTGCTTCCATTTCATTTAGTGTTTTATATAATTTGAACATGGGATAATTAGTGAACTGCCATCGATGTCTTTTATACAGTCAACAGTAAATGCTGCTGTATCATACACGGTTCTACCAATAGCCTACCTGGATAAAGGGCACAAGGGGGATTCTAAGGTTACATTATGCTTTTTAAAATGATTCAATCAATCAAAGTACTGAATGCCAGTAAATGTAGTGTTGAGGCACAACCACATGGTGTCACTGTGCAGCTTTTTCTTTCAGTGCCATGTTCAATATTTACTGGTAATCTAAGTTGTTTTGTAACATTTCAAATACATTCAAATTCACCTCTCTGATGTTCAGATGCTTCTTACAGTATGTGTGCCATTGCACGTGTTGGCCTTTTATTATAATAAACGTCAGTATTTACTTATTAAACCTAAATCAGTCTACCAGTAATTTTTTTTCGATCCCCCATAGTCAGGTTAAGAGACTGGTCAGAGATGACCAATTACTCAGATGATTACATTTAAAAAATATAATTATTTCATAAATATACAGCTAACCAGAATTATATTTTATGCATATACTGTACATGTAAAAGATACTGTTCCTAGACTAATAATAAAAAGAAATTAAAAAATAAAACATTTTCAGACCTTACAAAACAAGATGACAAGGTCATAGTCACGTCCTAATTTTATTACAACTGACCTGCAGGCAGATACTAGATCATATCATTACTACATGAACACTTAATATTCCATTGATAATTTCTTAAATATGTGAAGTAAATAGGATAAAATAGGCAGGAAGCTGGGAGCTTTCTGAAAGCAGGTGTTACATTACCCGAGCTCCCGTTCACAGACATAAGGCAATATCCCTGCACGTAATTTTTTTAATACATCTTCTATTGTACAGGAAAAAAGAACAAGTTCACAACATACAGTTATAATATTTTCACAGTTGTGTGAACATCATACATACTTTATATTCTTAAAAGATACACTGTAATACTCATCACCCTTAATAATATTTTATAATCAAATATTAACATTCTAATAAACTGACATGTCTACACTAATTTTACTCCATAAGAAAGTCTGTATACCATAAGACAATTTCCACTTGTGTTTGAATTCCATGACTGCAAAGAAAACGTTGTATTAAATAGGGGGAAGTGCTAGCATGACAATTTTAACAGCCAACTCACAGAAATTTTAATTTTACAGCATTCTTGTCCATGACTTCTGGATGTAAAGTCTGACAACTTTAAAAACATGATTAAAGAATACTGTGCAGGTCACCATTTTTTTAAATATGTAAAATAAAACAGGTAAAATGTATCTTAACTTGGATTCAGCAGTAAACAGTAGTTTGAGACTTTGAAATTAGTTCTTTTCCAGGAAAAAATATTTTAATGCATGGCACCAAATGATTTCATGGTTTCTCGAAGTGCAATCTCTCATTTTTCTATATATGATTATACTTAGATAAATGGTTGACATTTCCCTTTCAGATATAACATTGAAGTGCTGTAGTATACATGGAAACAATGTTGACAACGTTTCACAAGAACAAATTAGTTTTGTCTAGGGTGATACTACAAGTGGGTTACTCGAAAAACATGCTAAGTGCATTGTAGAAGTTGTGACCAAGACAAAAGGAATCAATTTGGATCTACAATTAAAGATCGCTTAAACATATAAGGGGCAACTTCAAAAACAAAAGGTACACAGACACACTGCTGTCATGTCCTAATGTCTGAACACCCCATGTAAACTGTGCAGCTAAAAAGGTTTTGGATGCTGTAAAAATTAATTACACAAAAGATGTTTTGCATATAAAGAAAATAAAGCCACAATATACAGGTCATGTTTTAATAGGACAACATTTTTGCATACGAACCTATTTACAGACGTGTAGAGTTGTCCTTTCCTTTACCTGTGAGCCTACATGTATGCACATTTGTGTTTCCATACTGCTAAACTGCTAATATGAAAGCACAAAGCAGCACACACACATTGTACTTTTCTACATGTATGTTGCATTCTTTCCTAAATCTCATTTCCAACCTTTTTTGGGTAAATTTTGTATTTGTTAACATATATATTTCACTTTAAAATTTATATTTTTACATTTATTTTCCCTTAAAAAATATCTAAATAAAAGAGATGATAGTCCCATTCCATCAACATTTCTGAAGCTTTTTCAATTACATCTTTCTTTAATTACTCTTTCTAAGATCTGCAGATCCATTGGGTCGGTGGGTGAGACGACATTACCTAATGTAACATGATTGGGGGAAATGGAGGTTTCACATTTCCTTTTTAAAATTCAATTTCAAAATCATTTTCTAGCTGAATGCACACACTCTAACCGTGATGACTGTAGTAAGCCCCGACGTTGCACACGAAGACAACTAGCATGTTTGTATCCAAGCATCTGTGTGGAAATGTTGAGTACAGAATGGTTGAAATGACATTATTGCACATGGCATTCTGGGATTGGGATCCCCCCCCATCTCTTTTCAACACTTTAGTGTGTGATTAACACAAATCTTTACACCTGTATCTGTTTATGTCTAAAGCCCATGCCTGCACCTTAGTGATCAGTCCACATACATGGGAGAGGTGGGAGAAGCAGGCATCTGATCAAGGATTCTACACACGTAACTGGCAACATCCACAGTTCGCTCCTCGTACATCAAGATGAACGGATGCTTCTGCAAACCACAGAAATGCACCAATGAGTACAAACTGTAGTATACACACACACTACAAGGACACAAAAAGTATATTTTACACTCTGCCAACAATTACAGTTACTTACGAGAAGCTCTCTATACTTTGGCCTTTTTGATTCGTCTTTTGTAAGGCTAAAAAGAAGAAACATAATTATCAGTCCTTTCACACGGATATTGCATGCAGATTTCCTCTGACTAAAATACTGACATATCGAGAGGAGTTTAAAATGATGTCATTTTCATTCCACTAAAAAAATGTCAATACGGTTTATGGAAATAACATTCCATGCAAGGAAACTAAATGTTACTTTTGTCTCGACATACCAGTCTCATTAACATATATACTTTTTATTGTTATACTCACCACAGATTGACAAAGTTGATGAACTTGGGAGAAAACTGCCTTTCCTCAGAGTTGCTCAGCTGTGGAGGATCTCCCTTTACAACTTGGGTCAGCTGATCAAAAACACTATTCCACTTTGGGTAAGGGAATCGACCAGTGGCCAGCTCATACTGTGCCGAAGAAAAACAACAGTAGGATCATTTTGTAAAAAACGAGAACAGAAAATTTTTACAACCGAAGAATATTCAAATCAATCATATTTTCAATAGTTCTGATTATTCGCCTACTTAACTATCAAAAACTGAACCTAGAGACAAAGAAAGAATCACAATTAATGGGAAGGTAAATGAATTAGAGATGCGCCGATCCAATACCGATACAGATTCTGGTACAAGAGCTCTTTTTAATATAAGAAATGTATATATAATATATAAATATGTATACTTTATATATTATGAATATTTTTAAAACTAGTAAATACGACCTTGTTTGTACATCTTGTTTTAAGCATTTTTGAGGCATTTGTAGTTCAATTTGAATCAAGTGGCGAATGCTTAAAATGCCCAACAATTGTTCTCCCACTGGCAACAGTGTCACTTACACCAAGGGCTGCTATCGCAATGAAGTGCATCACAAAGCAACCCAAGCTAGCTGACTCCTCAATCATCAATTGCTTTTTTCATATAACTCGCATTGTCTCGCACAATTGCGTACGCTTTGTTTAGTGGGATTTTTTACTGATCACTGCTTCCACTTCTCAAAAGTCTGTCTAATAGGTCTGGATCGGTGCTGATACCGGTCTGAATATCAGATCAGTGCATCTCTAAAATGAACATCACTATAACTTGTATGATTATAAATTTTGACCTACCAGTGTGATCCCCAAACTCCAAACATCTGAACGAACATCGTACCCCTGCCTGGAAGCACTAGGGTCTATTCTTTCCGGCTATAAAATAAAGAGGAAAGACAGCACATATTAAATCATTGCCTTAAAATCATAATAAAGAATTTCTTTTTTCTTCATATTATATTTATCTGCCTGCTTAGAAACGTATTTTCATTATTTATTAACATCGAATAAAAAGAGTAAAAAGGCTATTTTTATATTTACTTTGCCTTTAATGATGACCGTACATGGTAAGTTTATTCATAAAGAATGAAAAATCTCATTGAAGACTCCAATTAAAATCTGAGGCTTTCCTGTGACCATATATCTGATTGTATGTCTCTGACATGGTATAGTTGTCCATGATCAATACCGAAGAACAAAACAAAAAATAAATGACTCATGTACAAGAACAGAAGATTCTCAGAAACCAGTACTCAATACTACATTACTCAATGCTAACATTCTTTCAAAATATGGGAAGAGGCTATGTTACTACCGAGGAAACACTTGAAACAAGATTCCTTACCGACTGAAAGCCTTCAAAAATGTTAAAACTGGAAATGATCTGATAGGCATAGTACACTACCATGAACAATAACAGACTGAATTAGCCACGTACGGCTCAATTAGCATTTTTGTATTGCTGAGCAAATTGATTTTAAATCGCACAGACAAGAAAAACACATTTTTAAGTTAATACACATGCAGAGATAAGATTAGATGCTGCAGTACACAAACAATTCAATGCACAGAATCCATAATGGTGCCACGAAAGGACACAAAGTACATTTTAACCTCTCTTCACTGAATGCAAAACTGACACACCGCCATGTAAGGTCTGCATCCTGCATCTCTGGTTTTTGCGATAGAGTCAACAAGCTGTCCACTGATACCAAAATCACAGAGTTTGATGTTTCCATTCCTGTCTAGAAGGAAGTTGGAAGGCTTTATGTCTGAAAGAGGCAGGGAAAAAAAATAAACATGATAGCATTTGAAAAAGGGCATGTGCATAATTTATTTGCAGTGTTACTAATGTGTAGTGTCTAGTATTACAAGAATATCTGGTAGGGTACCAACGGTAAATGTTATCCTACTAAGATGTTATTGTTCACTCATTTTTTTTTCCTGAACTTACCCCTGTGAATTATTTTCAAGTTTTCTTTTAAGTGGTTAAGTGCTTTCACAGTCTAGAATTAAAGTCAGGAAAGGATCGTAAGTAAACATATTATGGCCATCTATTTTCATGTAGCTCAAAATACATTTTTTCAGAATTTCATTTTTAGGTAGTATAATGAACTTACAGCTAATGTTATTTTGCCTAATATTTCCTCAGGAATTACATCGTCTAATGAAGAATACACATATTTGTAGAATTTGTCAAATGAGGTAGACATGAGTTCCATACATATCCAACAGTCACCCTGAAAAATAAAAGTATTTGTCATTTTTTGTCACACATTCAAAAGCAATATATATGAAGGTACATTTTATTCCAAGTATTGTCACCATATATGGCAAATAAAGAGATTATTAATTGATTTCTTCAAAATGACAAACTTTTGGTAATAAAGATAATAATAGCATATAACACTAATGGAAAAAAATGTTTAATTCCATTAAAAAGGAATTGCCCTTCTGATAATATTCTGTTGAGTCTAATCCACAATGTTTAAGTTATCAAAACGATGAACAATACCTCTCTGAAAAGAGCCCCGTAAAACTGAACAATAAATGGACAGTCACTACTTCTCATCACGACATCCAAGTCCATTAGAAGCTGCTTCTGTTCCTTTTCATCAACAGTTGATCGAATTCTCTGCGATGTAAAGAAAAACAGCACAATTGTAATTCAATGCTGACAACTGTAGTTAAGCACCCACCATCATGATCATGATATGGTGCATAGCGGATGAGGATCTAAATCAGGGGTCTCAAACTCCAGTCCTGGGGGGCCGGAGCCCTGCACATTTTTGGGTTTCCCCTCATTTAACACACCTGATTCAACTCTTTCTGCTAATTACCACACAGCTCTTGAGCTGAATCATCTGTGGTGGAACAGGGAAAGAACTAAGCTACACAGGACTCCGGCCCCCCAGGACTGGAGTTTGAGACCCCTGATCTAAACAAAGAGTGAAGACATCATTTGTGGGTAAGCACTCCACATTCAAAGAGAATGAAAATGCAGTCGAATGTCAGTATTACAAAGCAGAACATAAATATCACCACAGAACAACTGCAGCACAAATACCATAGATGATCAAGTATGATGGCCTCGCCCTATAACGCAAGGTTAAAGATATGTGCCATTTAGCCTCTTGGAATAGCCTAGCCTGTCTTTGTCATCACATTGACTTAAAAATTAAATTAAGCAACACAATTTACGATTCCAATTTGTCAAAGTGATCGCAGCTATACCAAAAGGTTGCCCATCGCTTAGCCACATCATCTTACATAATATGAGACATAAACACCATATCAATTATTTTTCATGAACGCGTTTTAGTAGAGCTGAACGAGATTGGAAGAAATTCACAGTGAGTTATTTGAAGTTTTTGTAATATTTATGAGTTGAAAATTAACTATATAGCTACATAGAACTTATTAACTACCAAGAGTCTGCCAACTATGTTAATGGTGTTGCTGTGAGTTGTGCCAACAGACACAAAGCAGTGCTGATGAATCACTTGCTTTTGCTCAGTATTGTCTCTATTGTCTCTATAACACGAGACGAAGGACTTTTCGTGACCAGCTCTTGTTCACTTTTCTCCCCTTCATTCATTCTTGGTTAATCTCTCACACACGTTCTATGAGTGAGCCCAACAGCGAGGACAGAAATTATTATGATTATCTCGGAGAAAGCAGTGGCAGTAAATGGACATACCAAGGGAGTGAACTAGTCAACTATCACCCAGTCTCTGAATTCCTTCAGGTTGGGAGAAAGAAATTATTGTCCATTTTAACCGCAAATTAAGTCTGAATTAGCATATAAAGGTTAAAATGCACAATAATTTCATCATATCAGCGTAAATGAATATAAAATAAGTATACATCTGTGCTGTTACAACAATTGATCGCCACATGTATCGCTTTTAAAGGTGAATGCTTAATTGCGTACCAGTTATGTGCATCCCTGATTATTGAAATAATCAAGTGACAGCCCTATACAAAAGTGATTCTTGGTTTTCCTTTCAGAACATTTAATGTTTTTTCCTGCTTAAAAAAAGGTTGTCTAATTTCCAGAACTGTTAAGACAGTATAAAAATCAACACTTATAAAAAATTTTTGAAACAATATATAGATCGACTACTGTAGGCCCCCAATAGTCATATTTGATTGTCTTGGTAACCCCTCATTATAAGACAGGAGGTATGCATCACCTTGACTGCCATGATTTGGCCACTTGGCTTGTGCACCATCTTGTTGACAGACCCATAGGCACCTCTCCCAATTTCACCAAGGTCTTTGAGGTCCTCAGCAGTAAAGTCACAATGCTGTTCCGGGGATATCTTAAGCTTTCCTGATGACTCGATACTGTGTGTTCGCAGCCTCTCTCTGAGGACAGGAATGATAACAGGAATAAAACCATCAAATCAATATAATGATGAAGGAGAATATAAACTCCACCTATAGTTTGTGATGCTTCTAAAAATTTTTGCATCTAAGAAATCTTTTTAATAATGAAATATCAATCAATTCCAAAATAGGTTTTTAATTAAAATACATCAAACAAATCATCAGATCAAATCACAACAAATGTTTCCAAACATTTTCTACTTTAAATCGCTAAAGTAGACTAGTTACCACTGGAAAGACTTATTTACAGTGATGAGGTAATAGAAGTTCTGAGTGGCTTGCTTCTATTGCTCCTACTGTTGTGTCTGAAATGAAATGTATGGCTTTAATAATCCTCCCATCTGACAAGAGACTTTTCATGTAAATTTCCTGGATAGTAGAAAGTTACAAAATGCAGAGGGTCTCTAGAGTCAGGGGTCTACTCACATGTGTGGGTTCTGAAAAGGAGGCCCAGTTGTGTGGATTCTGGTTGTCGGTTTAATAGGTGGATTAGCAAAATTTAGCTTCAGTGCTTTACGTTTACCTGGAAAAGATACACAGACAGTGCGCCTTTGACAATCAAAAGAAGACTGTCAGAAGAAAATACTGTGAAAAATTCTTCTAATTTCTACTTATTCTAAGATTTCATATTTCATCATATTCATCAGAACAGTATTACACATTCTGTCCTACTGTAGCATAATCTACATCTAATTTAATAGCTGTGATATAATGGGAATATTTGGGGGATATAAAGTAATCATATATAGTTTTTCCTAATAAGTAGCCCTAATCACTATGATATACATTTGACCGACTTGCACTGAAGGTGCATTCACAAAAATACAAAGTAAAAAATTGATTTGAAAGATAGCAAATAAGTGACAATAAAAACAATTAAATACAAAGCCTGTGTGGAACTAACACTAGCTTATAAAAACCATATACTACACCAACTCACACTATTCTCTAATACACAAACATAAATAGAAAATTCAGAAATGTGAAAAAAATGCTAATTTCAACCATAAATGTTTCCACAATAAATATGAATTTGTATTTGTACAACAAAGTTTTGTATGAAAATGTATTTGCAGATAGAAATGCAAATGTAACAGCATTGAGGCAGGTCTCAGATATAGACTGAGGTTTAAAAGGCCAAAGCAGGTCAGGGCTAAAGGTAGTTCTGTATTCAAAAAGGTAGTTCTTACAATGAAGAATATAGAAGTAGCTACCTTGGTCAGTATGAAACAAAGTAAAAATATAAGACATCACATGTGAACTTCATCCTTTAAAAACCATAACATGTCCTATATTTACAAGAACTGTAAAAGATATATAAATGAATAAATAAAAGTACAACACAGAACGGGTGTGTATATAAATTCTTATATATCTGGGCTATCAGAGAACTGCCTCTGAATCTCATGGTTTGTCCACCCCTGTTTTCAGTACTGAAATCATTAGAATTTTATCCCATGTTTACAAGCAAGTATTCATGATGAGGAGGATTTGGCAAAAAAAAATTGCCATCATTGCCACTGTCAACAAATACGTGAAACTGAAGTGAATGACGAATGAGTCATGTATGTGACGCCATACAACATTAACAATGAGCATAATGTTCTCAAAGTGCAGCTCATGCCCAACGAGAGATACTATGCTTAAAATAATAAAATAAAATGTGAACAGCCTTATCTGTTAGTAGTACTGAAGCAAAAATCCTGGTAGAGCTTCCATTACAATATTTTGTATGTAAAATATGAAAGTAAAATTCAGTTACTTGAGTGAACATACACTGCAAAACCTACATTTTGAAGTGGCACAACAGTGAACATTTACCTGTCAACAATGTGATTTAATCAGCCACGAACATGTGATTCATACAGTAGCAAAGTGTAAATGGAAGCTCACCCACCACATTTTGTATTAGTGAAGAACAAAAGTGGACAGACTCCCCATACCAGACTGTTAAACCGAGACACAAAAGGCACGGTACGTTAGCAAAAAATACTTGGCTTACTTTGGGGAACTCCAGACAGGTTTATCTGAAAGCCTGAGGTAGAGAGAAAACATTTTTAACATGGTTTTGTTTTTGACATATGCTTGATTCTTCTCTAATGTGGAAATAAGGTTAAAAAGATCTCAAACAAATCCACGTTAAATACCTACAGGAACAATACACCCATAATCTATTTTGAAGCAGAAACAAAGCAACAGTGTTGCTGAAAAATGTTTATTGGCCTAAATAAAATGCAGGAAGAATGTATAAAATTAATTGCTACCATACTGTTCACTGATCTTGCCTCCTGCAGTATAGGCTAGTAGTTTCACCGTATATTGTAGATTTTTTTTTTTACTAGCTTAATAAGAGCTAGATTAAGACAACAATTTGGAAATTATGTTTTAATATTTTTTTAACAAAACACATCTATTTAACAGCACCGACAACATCAAATCTAAGTGGGAATATTGGAAGTGGAGATGTGCCATATCTGGGCTCCACAAAACCATTCCTGTAAAAAACTGTCTTTAAAATTTGGGTAACAACCTTAAGTTCCAGGGCACAGACAATAAGCTGAATTCTCCACTGTCTCATGTATGCGGTAAATGAACGTGATTAAATTTCTAACTGTCAATAAATGAAACATAAGCATGGGAATTACCAGAACCTATCTAGCAGGTGTCATTGAGTACTTAGTACAAACCCCTCAAACTCTGCACCAATACCCATTTACAGTCCAGAAAGAAAAAACAAGCAGTTGTAAGAAGCTTCTGATGAGTCTGGCAAGTGCATTACCTTGTCCTATACACATGGAGGTGAGCACACATGACTAAATATCGAAGAACTGCACACCCCAACGGAAGGGCTTACATTGTAAAAAGGATTGATAAGTAAATTCCTTACTCAGAGTGACAACGGTCCAGTTCATAAAGCTAGACTAGCTGGATGACTCGATTGTGAAGATGAATAATTTACATATTGTTAATAATATATTTCATTTATTTTATTATAAATCTTCAATTTGGCTAAATATTTTTTAAAAATATATGACTGCAGATACCAAAAATTGCTTTATTTTGTTAAAGTGTAAAGTATGTCACCGTAGTTAAACTGGTTGATCCAATGCAGGGCCTGGAGTCTAACCAAGGAGTCACAGGACACGCAAGGCAGGAGACACAATAAACAGGATGCCAGTCCATCACAAGTCACACACACAAGTAAACAAAAGGGATACTGACCCACCTAAACCATACATCTGTAGGAAAAAAACTACACAAACGGAGACAGAACAGAGAAGTTCAAAAGAAACCCAGAAGAGGGTCTGATGTCACAGTGCTAAAAACCAAGCCACTGATACGAAATCTGAAATTATGTATGAAAAAATTAAATAATTTCTTTCCAATTTCTTTAAAGATGTATTTTTACCAGTGCAAAAAACAAGCTATTGTCATGTTATTCACAGTTTCATCACATAGATTAATTTAGGAAGATTTATATTCCTTACAGGTAATCATCAGAGTTTATACTGGCTTCGTCACATATAGCTGTTAACAGTTCATTAGTATAAATATCTGTCAATATAGACTAGTAGGGGCGTGTGGGCCCGCAGGTGAATATTTCAGCGTTTAGGTCAAACGGGAGACATTTTACCTCCCTCTATTTTCCATCCACCAAGATGGGCAAAACCAAAGGAAAGGCAGCTATAAAACGCCAAACAAATATTGAATGGCAAAACAACAGTGTTGGTAAACAATATTACTGCAGACTAAATGACCTAGTAACATACTTTAACAATAAGGTCCATTTTCCATTACCGAGACAAACGAAGAAAGCACTGCATTTAAATTACCTTTTCCCCCCACCACCAAGTGCAAAGATTTTACACTACTGCGAACAAAAGACCATCAAGACTAATAACTTATAAACAGGATGGAATGCCTATGGAGCTGAAAGCCAGAAAACTATATAGTCAATAAATGAATTGCAGAAACTTTTGAATTTTGTTTATACACATACCATGCATACCCAAATATGGAATTTCATAGATAATATATATTTATAGATTTTCAAAATTAACCTATTATAAATTTAGGGGAGCATGGCGAATAGAACTGTTACCTCACCCCTCCAGAGTTGGGGGTTAAAATCCCACCCCCGCTGCATGTGTGTGGAGATTGTATGTTCTTTGCATGTTCTGTAGCTTCCCATAATCCACAGAAATGCAGTTTGGTGAAGTGGCGCAACTAAATTGCCCATAGGGAGTGAATGTATGAGTATGCATGAGTATGTGATGGACTAGTATCTTGTCCAGGCTGTACTCCTGTCTTGTGTCCTATATGCTCCAGGGCTCCCCAAACCTTATGCTGGAAGGTGGACGCATTTTACATAATATACATTATTGAAAACAGCAAATACTGCATGTCACCACTTAACAGAATATATCCTCATCTGAGATCCGACTTGTAATAGAAAAACAAAAACACCCACTTATGGATTGCTTCCTTATTCTTTGGCTTGATAGTGGAAGACAAAAAACCAAACTGCACCAGGTCCATTGTGGTTCAAAGCTACGCGTTATTTGTTTTACTACACGTGCCCAATGATTTACTGTTATAAATTACTATTATATATTATATATATATAAAATAAATTACTTTATTGGCTCACCCAAAAAAGTGCGGATGAAGCATCTTGTCTGCATTCAAACCTCACCTACTATAAATCAAGATCACATCACAAAAACTAAAGCAGATAAAGAACGGTAAACAAAATGCCTATTTAGCTCAAGCATAATTATGACCTATGGCTACTACAACAACTTTATTTACTTGGTAGCTAAACATTAATGGTTACTCAAAATGACAAGATGAGAGGGCTCTGAAAACTTGTAACTGGATAATAGGTTAGTGGAACTAAATTGGAGTGTTCTAAGTAAAATTACTCTACAGCTACAGTTTTAAGAATATTCTGTAAACTTGGAAAGTTATACACCTAGTAAGTAATAGGGTTTTTCCACAGTTAATCAAAAATGCCAGTTACTGCAAAAATAATACAATAATTTGTCTTAATGATGCACTATATTCATAAAGGAGACTCATTAAGAAAGACACTCCACAAAAGAATACAACAAAAGAAAAAACGACCAGTTAAAAATGAGGGAAAAAAAATTAAAGTATCCATCCATCCATCTTCTAATTGCTTATACTGGTTACGGTTAAGGGGGGAGGGGCAATCCCAGGCAGCACAGGGCTCAAGCCTACAGCAAGATTTTGGGTGATACTGATTTTTTCATACCTTCATATCTTCTAGACATTTCACCCTGGTATACAGTGTAGGACAGTATTTATTTAAAAAAAATAATAAAAAAAATTAAATATAAATTAAAATTAAAATTATATATATATATATATATATATATATATATATATTCATTGTGTTGCCTACTGTAAACTCTGGAAGAGTTTTTCAGTGTGAAAGTTGAGCACTACAGAAACTAGAAGACAACTACTTGATATACACCCAGGGTGTATGGGAGGTGTAGTTAACCAATCTACTAACAATTAAAGGTAAATACTTATTTACCTTTCAACATTCCACTAAGCAATGTGCAAATTCAGAATCGGTTCACTCAGGGTATGAGAAAACCCGAATCAGGGTATGACAAAACCCGAATCAGGGTATGACAAAACCCGAATCAGGGTATGACAAAACCTGAATCAGGGTATGAGAAAACCTGAATCAAGGTTTTCCATGTCCAGGTTTCCGTAGCCTCACACCACTGGATAAGGTAACTTTTCCTAATATCCAGTTTCATCCATGAGAAAAATGTTTTGAGGCACATAATTGTAGAACTAGTAAAACTACTGTATAGCCTATATCCAAAAATTGGTTGAAATTGGAAATATTCCCTTAAAACAAACTATACAACAGTAGATTACAGTATTGCAAGGCAATCAAAATCACAAGAGCTGGCTAACAGTACCAGTAATTGATTTTTAAAACCATATAACCATCACCAAAACAAATGCTAAATCATAGATAGGATTTGTTTGGCATTTATTAATGTGCATTTCACCAGGTGCTAAAACTGAGTAAATGGAACTTAAATACACAATTCTTTCAGAACTTGGGAAGTTGCTTTTTTTTTTTGTTTACTTCAAAAAGTTCATACAACTGCTCTGTACCATTTGAAAATCACTGTCAAGGTATGTTTTGCTTGTTTCGTTTTAAACCTTTAGTGATCAGTGGTTCTGTACGTATTAATGTTTCTCATCTATTCTGTTTGTACAAAGCCTTTATAAATGAGCCCCCAGGAGTTTATCCACCCTTGTTTTTCCCCCAAGCCTGTATTTAGGGTCCGCCTTTATTTGTTCATGTCGACCATGCAAAAAAAGTTTCTATCCCTAAATAAACCTTTAGTGATCAGTGGTTCTCAGACCTTCTGTATTACATACCAGTTTAGATCAAAGCAAAGTAGGCAAGTACCACATGGGTGTGGGAAAAAAAAAAAATCACAGTATCCTGAATGCACGTACGTGTGCACAAACACATGAGCATACACGAAAAACAACAGCACTTACCATTTCAGTGATATGGGGTGAGCCTACTTGGCATGGCAAAGATTAGAAATGTCAGGGATAAGTGGAGTAAGCTTTGGTCTTCCTCTGTTCGAATTTAAGTAAATCCCAAACTTAGGTAACTGGGATCATACCGCTGTTTCGTGGTTTTCCGACACTTACTAACACTTGTAGTGCTCCTTGTATCACCATTGCAGGTGATGAGCTATGGTATCAGCTACTGCAGGTGACCGAAGAATAATCCTTCTCAGACTCAAGAACTGCTGCATACAGTATAGTGCAGGTGATGTTAACCTGCCCTAAATGTGTCATAATTAAGAATATGTAAAGTGTCTTAAACATCGTGAAAACTATTAAGAAAATATATTTTTAAATTAAGAAATAAAAATGTTCAATTCCTGTTTTTTGTTTTTTTCAGCGCACACAACAAATAATAACAATATTTTTGCGTATGACCTCAAGGAATTTCAAGTATCATTGGTAGCATGCATACCCCAGCATAAGAACCACTGGTCTTCATTAATTCATTCACAACAATGATTAAAATTCCACAAAACTCTTGGTGTCCAGCTGTTACCATTTTAAATAAACTGGAGTAAGTTAAGTAATAGCACTCAGAAAACACTAATATAAAAGACTGACATTCAAAGTGGGGCACAATATTTTGCTTTGAAAACAAAACATACTTAACTGGTACCAATCAAACTCACAAATAGGACAGTAAACCTATCATGGCTAAATATCTCAGCGTCTGTAGTCAAACTATGCGCACAGAAAACCTCATCATTTCAAAGAAATACATTTAATATAGGACAACAATATGTATGAATGAATTGACAAACAACCCTATGTTTTGCTGTCTAAACTATCATTTTATAACTCTACATTATCAAATATAAACATACATACATATATACAAATACACAACTCAGAGATTGAAAATCATAATGAATTTTCATTGTTATGACCAATGCAGTTTAAAATAAGAAACTTTTGAAATACACAAGTTTTAACAACATCATTCAATCACTGACTTGGCATATACATTACATAAAAATGCAAGCAAACAGCTACAATCCAAAATCGGTAACAAAACTACCACTAAAAATTTCAATTTGTAGACCCTACACAGTTTAACTTATGAGCAGGCCATCTGTCTGCTATTAACTAAATATTCAGATCACTAGCGTCTGTAACAACTGGTGGGGGGGAAAAGCTAAGAAATTTATAGTGAGACTTATAGTGATACTTCTGCTACTTACTTGATTACATTCCATGAACTCACTGATTATATTCCCGTAAAATATCCAAGTAACTTATGAACTTCATATTGGAAGTACAGAAATAATACTACTGTTTTTTTATTCCAGACAATATAAAATATGTTAACATTATTTCAATAATAATAATAATAATAATAATAATACAGAATCATTGCAATTGGAAAACAATTAAAGATGTTTTTAATAAGAATGTGGATATTTAAAAATGTGTCTTTAAAATGTTATATTAAATATTGACGGTCTAAGGATACATAACACCATTGCTAGCATGTCGTTTTGTGCATTAATATGGAAACAAACAAAACGTTTTCACACCTTGCATTCCTATAAAAAAATGTGTAAGAGTACCTGTTTCATTCTGACATCTCCAGCACGTGTTGGTCTCTGAAAGGTTTAAATTAAACATTTAATGGATTGTCTGCAGAAAAATAACCTGCACCGTGACAAATCTCGACATTTTCATGACGTCGTTCTAGGACACAAGCCACCACTTTGTGTAGCCAAATATTTTACCAAATACACAGATACACTCGACTTGCAACGATATTTAATCATGTACAGAAATACAGTTAGCTTTTGGGTGCAGTCTAGAGTTCGCAACAGGCTAAATGCAGTTTCAGTGAACACGAGTCAACTGGCTATCTATATTTTTACTGTACTTACATATCCTAACTAGGTTACTGATATCACAAGAAGACAATACAATCAATGCAACAAGCACTGTTTTTTTTCTTGAAAATTCCAATAGAAACATATCCAAATGATTTAATTCGTTAATGCAAATAAATAAAGTATAACATAAATAGGAGCACACTTAGCTGGTTAGCTTGTTGACTTGCTAACATTTTGTTTAGTGTCCATAATTGCCACCAATCAAGATACCTGCGGGTTTCGGTCATTTCTCTTAACACGGCATTTTGAACATTATACGGCCACTGTTGGTTTAAACCTTATTTCTCAGCAAATATGTATGTTGTAAACGTACTACATGCTGCACTGTAGCATCAGGCCTATGTGCAGAAAATTGCTAATATATAGCAGAGCTAGCTAGCATACTCGCTAAGTGGAAAAACTGCAAATAAATATAGCTAGTTAACTACGCATTTTCAATTAATTAACGTTTAATTTCAGATGTCACTTGCCCTTATACACTGTGCCAAACATTTCATAAGTAAAACGGATTTATTAAAAATAAAACAAGGTATATAAACTAGCATTTTACACAGGCCTATACAAAACGATGATGAGGAAATACACACTGCATTGCTAAAGTGCAGCAGTGGCAGGGTGAAAATACATCTTCGCCAATCATTTTCTCCTATAATTCTGGCAAAAATCACTTGAAAAGGAGCAGTTAGGGGCTTTTGAATGTTTAACGTCTTACCCTGCATGCTGCTGACTGTCGTTATGTGCTGAGACGGGGACTGGTGGTGGTATGATGTTGATGTAGATCCTGCATTATTGCTGCTGTTGCTAGAGGAGGTTGTTGAGTTGCTGCTGGGGCTGGGAGTCGCCATTGTTGCGTGATTGATTCCAGCAGCTCAAGGCTGCAATGCAGGGAGTTTAAACTTCAGCTTCTCCGGGCAGGACACCTAGCTACTAAACTCAATATAGCAACTGCGCTCCACAGCGGGGGCAGTCTGCGCTGAGCATTACTAGCGGGGATAACACTATCTGCGGTATATGCACTGTACGTGCTTATCACAGTTTTGTCTAGGTTTGAGGGGAAAAGTTATTAGGCAACTAATTTGTGGGGTTTTATTTATTTGGATAGGACATGCTAATTAAATGCATGATATATTGCAAGTATAATAAAATTGCATATCATTTAAAAATATTTTAAATGCATTTGAATCGCTTTGATAATAAACTTTCATAAATGAAAACTTTCAGGTAAACATATAAAGATTAAATAATAATAAAATGGCAGTTCTAATTGATTATTTGAGCACCATAAGCCATAAGCTTATTTTGATTTATTATACAATCCAACGTTCGTCATTCCTATGAAAGGGGGAAAATGCTGCCCACTTGCTTTAATTGAGTTAAGAGGAACATGGGGTACCTTGTCATAGATATTTCCTGACGCATGGTAGTACTTAAAAATCTAAATTTTCAAATAATGCCTGTATTTATGGTGTTCTTTAACTTAACTTACTTCACTGATTACAAATGAATCAGTACACATTGCACAATTTTAGAATTTCATTATATATTATTACATTTATTACCTGAAACCTACTGATTAACTGGTAATTGGTCTGGCTCCATCCATACTGAAGGAAAAGTACACATTATGCCTTGTAAAATATTGTAACATGAATAAAGAACTACTGGATGTCCAATATCTTTAATATTTTTTAATTAAAAATTTCCCATTGTCAAAGTAAACAACAACAATTAGTCAAGGTTCAACAATCACTAATGTGCACAGAAGCATCATTTTTCTTAAATGCAAGTCAAAAAAACAGTTGTACTTTACAAATAAAAATATTTTTACACAAAACAGCCAGATGCCAGCCATTTGTTAAATACAAACACCCCAAATATATTGCACGCTGTCCAACAAGATTGGATTGTATATTTACTGATTGGTTGTACAGAAAACAGACTGCAAGAAAAAGAAAAAAAAATGAAANTACAGTATTGCAAGGCAATCAAAATCACAAGAGCTGGCTAACAGTACCAGTAATTGATTTTTAAAACCATATAACCATCACCAAAACAAATGCTATATCAGATATAGGATTTGTTTGGCATTTATTAATGTGCATTTCACCAGGTGCTAAAACTGAGTAAATGGAACTTAAATACACAATTCTTTCAGAACTTGGGAAGTTGCTTTTTTTTTTTGTTTACTTCAAAAAGTTCATACAACTGCTCTGTACCATTTGAAAATCACTGTCAAGGTATGTTTTGCTTGTTTCGTTTTAAATCCCGAAACCTTTGTATAAATGTACGTATTAATGTTTCTCATCTATTCTGTTTGTACAAAGCCTTTATAAATGAGCCCCCAGGAGTTTATCCACCCTTGTTTTTCCCCCAAGCCTGTATTTAGGGTCCGCCTTTATTTGTTCATGTCGACCATGCAAAAAAAGTTTCTATCCCTAAATAAACCTTTAGTGATCAGTGGTTCTCAGACCTTCTGTATTACATACCAGTTTAGATCAAAGCAAAGTAGGCAAGTACCACATGGGTGTGGGAAAAAAAAAAAATCACAGTATCCTGAATGCACGTACGTGTGCACAAACACATGAGCATACACGAAAAACAACAGCACTTACCATTTCAGTGATATGGGGTGAGCCTACTTGGCATGGCAAAGATTAGAAATGTCAGGGATAAGTGGAGTAAGCTTTGGTCTTCCTCTGTTCGAATTTAAGTAAATCCCAAACTTAGGTAACTGGGATCATACCGCTGTTTCGTGGTTTTCCGACACTTACTAACACTTGTAGTGCTCCTTGTATCACCATTGCAGGTGATGAGCTATGGTATCAGCTACTGCAGGTGACCGAAGAATAATCCTTCTCAGACTCAAGAACTGCTGCATACAGTATAGTGCAGGTGATGTTAACCTGCCCTAAATGTGTCATAATTAAGAATATGTAAAGTGTCTTAAACATCGTGAAAACTATTAAGAAAATATATTTTTAAATTAAGAAATAAAAATGTTCAATTCCTGTTTTTTGTTTTTTTCAGCGCACACAACAAATAATAACAATATTTTTGCGTATGACCTCAAGGAATTTCAAGTATCACTGGTAGCATGCATACCCCAGCATAAGAACCACTGGTCTTCATTAATTCATTCACAACAATGATTAAAATTCCACAAAACTCTTGGTGTCCAGCTGTTACCATTTTAAATAAACTGGAGTAAGTTAAGTAATAGCACTCAGAAAACACTAATATAAAAGACTGACATTCAAAGTGGGGCACAATATTTTGCTTTGAAAACAAAACATACTTAACTGGTACCAATCAAACTCACAAATAGGACAGTAAACCTATCATGGCTAAATATCTCAGCGTCTGTAGTCAAACTATGCGCACAGAAAACCTCATCATTTCAAAGAAATACATTTAATATAGGACAACAATATGTATGAATGAATTGACAAACAACCCTATGTTTTGCTGTCTAAACTATCATTTTATAACTCTACATTATCAAATATAAACATACATACATATATACAAATACACAACTCAGAGATTGAAAATCATAATGAATTTTCATTGTTATGACCAATGCAGTTTAAAATAAGAAACTTTTGAAATACACAAGTTTTAACAACATCATTCAATCACTGACTTGGCATATACATTACATAAAAATGCAAGCAAACAGCTACAATCCAAAATCGGTAACAAAACTACCACTAAAAATTTCAATTTGTAGACCCTACACAGTTTAACTTATGAGCAGGCCATCTGTCTGCTATTAACTAAATATTCAGATCACTAGCGTCTGTAACAACTGGTGGGGGGGAAAAGCTAAGAAATTTATAGTGAGACTTATAGTGATACTTCTGCTACTTACTTGATTACATTCCATGAACTCACTGATTATATTCCCGTAAAATATCCAAGTAACTTATGAACTTCATATTGGAAGTACAGAAATAATACTACTGTTTTTTTATTCCAGACAATATAAAATATGTTAACATTATTTCAATAATAATAATAATAATAATAATAATACAGAATCATTGCAATTGGAAAACAATTAAAGATGTTTTTAATAAGAATGTGGATATTTAAAAATGTGTCTTTAAAATGTTATATTAAATATTGACGGTCTAAGGATACATAACACCATTGCTAGCATGTCGTTTTGTGCATTAATATGGAAACAAACAAAACGTTTTCACACCTTGCATTCCTATAAAAAAATGTGTAAGAGTACCTGTTTCATTCTGACATCTCCAGCACGTGTTGGTCTCTGAAAGGTTTAAATTAAACATTTAATGGATTGTCTGCAGAAAAATAACCTGCACCGTGACAAATCTCGACATTTTCATGACGTCGTTCTAGGACACAAGCCACCACTTTGTGTAGCCAAATATTTTACCAAATACACAGATACACTCGACTTGCAACGATATTTAATCATGTACAGAAATACAGTTAGCTTTTGGGTGCAGTCTAGAGTTCGCAACAGGCTAAATGCAGTTTCAGTGAACACGAGTCAACTGGCTATCTATATTTTTACTGTACTTACATATCCTAACTAGGTTACTGATATCACAAGAAGACAATACAATCAATGCAACAAGCACTGTTTTTTTTCTTGAAAATTCCAATAGAAACATATCCAAATGATTTAATTCGTTAATGCAAATAAATAAAGTATAACATAAATAGGAGCACACTTAGCTGGTTAGCTTGTTGACTTGCTAACATTTTGTTTAGTGTCCATAATTGCCACCAATCAAGATACCTGCGGGTTTCGGTCATTTCTCTTAACACGGCATTTTGAACATTATACGGCCACTGTTGGTTTAAACCTTATTTCTCAGCAAATATGTATGTTGTAAACGTACTACATGCTGCACTGTAGCATCAGGCCTATGTGCAGAAAATTGCTAATATATAGCAGAGCTAGCTAGCATACTCGCTAAGTGGAAAAACTGCAAATAAATATAGCTAGTTAACTACGCATTTTCAATTAATTAACGTTTAATTTCAGATGTCACTTGCCCTTATACACTGTGCCAAACATTTCATAAGTAAAACGGATTTATTAAAAATAAAACAAGGTATATAAACTAGCATTTTACACAGGCCTATACAAAACGATGATGAGGAAATACACACTGCATTGCTAAAGTGCAGCAGTGGCAGGGTGAAAATACATCTTCGCCAATCATTTTCTCCTATAATTCTGGCAAAAATCACTTGAAAAGGAGCAGTTAGGGGCTTTTGAATGTTTAACGTCTTACCCTGCATGCTGCTGACTGTCGTTATGTGCTGAGACGGGGACTGGTGGTGGTATGATGTTGATGTAGATCCTGCATTATTGCTGCTGTTGCTAGAGGAGGTTGTTGAGTTGCTGCTGGGGCTGGGAGTCGCCATTGTTGCGTGATTGATTCCAGCAGCTCAAGGCTGCAATGCAGGGAGTTTAAACTTCAGCTTCTCCGGGCAGGACACCTAGCTACTAAACTCAATATAGCAACTGCGCTCCACAGCGGGGGCAGTCTGCGCTGAGCATTACGAGCGGGGATAACACTATCTGCGGTATATGCACTGTACGTGCTTATCACAGTTTTGTCTAGGTTTGAGGGGAAAAGTTATTAGGCAACTAATTTGTGGGGTTTTATTTATTTGGATAGGACATGCTAATTAAATGCATGATATATTGCAAGTATAATAAAATTGCATATCATTTAAAAATATTTTAAATGCATTTGAATCGCTTTGATAATAAACTTTCATAAATGAAAACTTTCAGGTAAACATATAAAGATTAAATAATAATAAAATGGCAGTTCTAATTGATTATTTGAGCACCATAAGCCATAAGCTTATTTTGATTTATTATACAATCCAACGTTCGTCATTCCTATGAAAGGGGGAAAATGCTGCCCACTTGCTTTAATTGAGTTAAGAGGAACATGGGGTACCTTGTCATAGATATTTCCTGACGCATGGTAGTACTTAAAAATCTAAATTTTCAAATAATGCCTGTATTTATGGTGTTCTTTAACTTAACTTACTTCACTGATTACAAATGAATCAGTACACATTGCACAATTTTAGAATTTCATTATATATTATTACATTTATTACCTGAAACCTACTGATTAACTGGTAATTGGTCTGGCTCCATCCATACTGAAGGAAAAGTACACATTATGCCTTGTAAAATATTGTAACATGAATAAAGAACTACTGGATGTCCAATATCTTTAATATTTTTTAATTAAAAATTTCCCATTGTCAAAGTAAACAACAACAATTAGTCAAGGTTCAACAATCACTAATGTGCACAGAAGCATCATTTTTCTTAAATGCAAGTCAAAAAAACAGTTGTACTTTACAAATAAAAATATTTTTACACAAAACAGCCAGATGCCAGCCATTTGTTAAATACAAACACCCCAAATATATTGCACGCTGTCCAACAAGATTGGATTGTATATTTACTGATTGGTTGTACAGAAAACAGACTGCAAGAAAAAGAAAAAAAAATGAAAAATTTCAGCAAATCAGAAAAAAATATATATATATATGACAGAGCAGGTCAAACAAACAGTTGTTACTCGACTTATGTACCCTCTTTTCAAGATGCCATTATCCTAGCAGCTAACATTGTATATCCAACAATGAGTTACAGTAGACTGTTAAATATTCAATAACAGGGCAATGTATAACTGTATATTTTGTTAAGATACATGTACACCAGGGATGGGCAATCTTCCAGAAAGGGCCACACATACACACTGGCCCTTTGCAAATAAGATTGCCTGATCTATACGCTATTTTATTTTAATTAATGGTAATTTCTGGCATGTTGAATCAAAAATGTCTTGGCATGGACAAATTTAACTTATTACAAGTTCATAAGGGAACATTTGCCAAGCAGAATAGTGCATTTCCATCAATGTAAAGTGAATGCAGGTTGATTTCAAATACTTCATTCAAACTTTCCAAGCCCAAAACTCCATTTTGATTTAGTAAATAATAAATGTCTAGCATTAAAATTGCTGTAAGGTTTACCAATGTCCATTGTTTCTCACTCATAGTTAAGACTTCTGTGTGGAACTCTACCATTCCCCTTAAGTTTCATCCTGTCCTCATATACATACACTGTGCCAAAAGCATCATTATTTGGTCGAGTTTCAATGACCCCTTCAAAAGTGAGGTGGTGGATACCAGAGATATCTTGGTGATAGCCACCATCATGGTCATGTCCAGCCATGAAACACACTACACTCTTATGCGAGTATAAAATAGAGAGAACGTCATCATAGTTCCAGGCAAGACATACAGGATCTGTAGAACTGGGATGTATTGGAAGGTGACCTGGCAAAGATAAAAAAAGCACTTACTGAAATGAATAATGTGGTGCATAGCAATATGTTTAATTAAAGATTGCATTACTCAATTAGTTTTACACATTCTAACAAATACAAAAAAGTGTTGTTACTTACTCACAATGGTGACTTTCTCTAGTTTCTGATCTGACAGAGAGAGTAACCTATCCAGCCATTCCAGCTGGTCTTGGCCGAATCCTCCATTGAACTTCACAAATCTCTGTTCCAGTCCTGAATATGCTACAAAAGTAGATCTCTTTGCTGTCACTGTACTAGTAATACTTGTAAATTCCTTCCAGACAAACTTCAGTGATGTACACACGCGCGCGCGCGCGCACACACACACACACACACACACACACACACACACTTGCTGGAATAAAAGCCAATACACATCTATATGAATTAAAACTTAATAAATATGAATAACACCAAATTATAATCCCAATATGCCATGCAGTTTAAGTTCAGAAGACCATTCGCTTGAAAAAGAGCATAATTAATGTGATTTACCAGTATGACTGAAATGGTATTGAAGTATTACTACTTCACACATTACCTTTGCAAAAGGAAAAATAATCATGATACAGAACAACAATTACCTGGGGGCTGATTTAAATCATAATTGCCATTGTGCTCCTGTAAAATTTTAAGTGCCTGGTTGTACTGCTCGCTGTTTTCTTGGCGTCCAATAAGGCTGACATCATAGGCATCAAGCACCACAAAGCGGAAGTTTGGAGCTGGACTGAAATGGTAGGCATAACTCTGCTCATTGTCTGGATGCTTCTGTTTGATTTCATCCTCTCTCATCGCAAAATCTGTATTTTGGCTGTTAAGTGATGTAATAAGATCTTGTCTACTGAAATTATAAAACTCGTGGTTCCCCCACACATGGTGCACAGCGATGCCAGTTCTGTCAAACTCTGTTAAAACTGTATCAAGGGCCTTCTGTGATGCTTCATATTTTTTGTTGAAACCATCAATAATGTCCCCAAGTTGAAGAATAAAGCTAGGTTGTACAGTCTCCGTTTTCCACTTTTCGTTTGCTCTACGCAGCAATTGAAGACTATTCCTGTAATACCGTTTTCTTGTATGCGTAAAGTTGTAACCATCGTCAATGTCAGCATACTGGATATCAGCTATTACACCAAATGTAAAGAGGGGCTGTATGCTATCATCCATTTTTGATGCTCTTGAGATCAATCTAGAAGACAACCCTTCATGCTTTGTCCACCACCTAAAACAAAACAACAGTTGCAAACATTAACCACTCACATAATTAGCTAGGTGAATATACATGGACAATTTCAGTGACAATGTGGATGGCATTTTAATTTCACTAACAAAGACTGTGCAAAATTCCATTCTGTAATTGTACAAAATAAAAACGCTGAAAATGTGTGCTATTATGTCAGCTTGCTATCTTTTACCCTGTAGTTTAAAGAGATTACATTTACTCTCCATTCTAATGAAGAAAGCATGTGGATATTTAGCTCTTCATTTTTAACATTCACAAGTTTAAATTCTGCTGCATGATTGGGGTGGTAGTTGACAGTATGTCTGTTAAATAAACTTTCGTTTTAGTGGTTCAGCGGGTAGTAGCAGTATTGGAGGTTTGAATCCTGAGTGTTCTGCTCCTCCCGTAAGCCAAAAACATGCAGTTACACTACTGTCATCTCAAAACTGCCCGCACTGTATGAGCATTTTCTCTGCAACGGACTGTCGTCCCAGGGTTCCAGCCATAAGACTGGAATAGGGTCTCAGGTGCTGGACAATGCCTAGGGTAAGCTGGTGGAAGAAGGATGCTTTCGTTTATACATACAAGACACTGAATTGTTAGCACGCTGTAACACGTCCAACTGAAAAGTATTTTCGAGTTCACCAAAACAGCAGCTGTAATTTAAGAACGACAGAGCAGATTTAAAAGTGCGCGGTTTCTTTTTGAATATTACAGCAGGAAATCTCGCGTTCTGACCACCCAGCGGTAACCCGGAAGACGCGGAATTCGACAAGGCCAAAGCAGTCGAGCAGCGCTTGCCGATTGGCTTTTTGGAAGGAAGTGTTCAATTCATACAGCGGCACAACGTGTTTAACCATTAACTGTAGTGAAATTATGTCAAAGCTATATAGTGGCTGCATTTTAATTACTGATTACGTAGTCCAGTGCGTACTAATGTTATAATGTTTAACTTTTTTCCTCTCTCATCCCAAGTGAAATATCTTGTTTCCGCACTGTTGACCTGTGTATAGCTATAGCCGACCGCTTGACCTGTTGAAATAGAAACCATGCTCAATAGAATTTTTATTATATTCCCATCACTTACCCCACAACTCTTCTTTCGGAAACACATTTATTACGAAAAGGACATTTGAAATTGAACATGAAAGTATTTCAAGTACACACTAGCGTATTCGGTAAGACTGTCCACTTAGGCGCAGAGAACGCCATTACTGATTCGTAATACAAATAGGGTTACCACATGTTGTTCTTGATTGTAAGCCTTTGTTACTTTAATTACTGTAACGTACGTTGATTTAGTAATACCGTAGAAAACATGTATTCCATATTTTTTGAATGCTCGCAATTTAATGTAAAACCATTACATTTTAAAGCGTTAAAATGAAAGGCGTTTCGTGTAACTCATGCTGAGTCAGTATCATCAGTATAAGAGTAATATCTGGCAGCCTTAGTGATGGTCGCTGTAGCCAACATCAGGTTCGCGCTGTAAAAGTGCTTTTCAAAATAAAAGCCGGTGACAGGTGGAACGTTTACGCATGCGATTATTTACTTACTTGTTCATAGCAGGCTTTTCTTGTTTGGGTCAAGGTATCTTTTGGGAAAAAATATTGTAGAATCACATAGGGTAGTGTCTGGTGCGCACCAGTTAGTATCTGGTGCACACCAGTTAGTATCTGGTCACCTATGTCCCTTTAGGGGCTCCGTAGTAGAGGACATGCATCAACTTTTTTTTTCTTTTCGTTATCTCGATATCATGACTTATTTTTCTCGTGATCTCGACATAACCAATGTCACTTTCCCGTGATCTCGCGATAGGTTTAGTATTATCCTCATGGACAAATGCATCAGATTTTACTTTCAGAATCATAATCAGAAGAATTTATTAATCCCGGAGGAAACGTACTGCTCACATTGCGACTGCGCAATCAGACATAGACACGAAGACAAGAATAATACAGTATAAATATAAAAATACTGTAGGAATGAAGTGTAAAACAAATTACAGCACTGTTAAACATTCTAATAAATAAAATAAGATAGAAAATCTCTGTACAGGAATCTAAAGTACCTTTGTCCAAAAGTTACAGGAAAAGTAAAAGTGTATAGGAGTATATTGCACAGTAAAGTAAAAGTATATTGCATCAATATCATAAGTGGTTATATTGCACTCGTTTGTAAAGCCAAGTTAGACTTCAAACTGTGGGAAAAATTCTAGATATATTGCACCGAATCATGGATAAGAGGAAATAACAGCTAGTGTGCCTGTCGATGCTAGAAATTTGTCATATTAGTGTTCGTCATTTGAGAAGGAGGCTCAGAAATTTGCAGCTATAGCGTCGGAGGAATTATAGAAAGCCTGAACGAGTAGTCAGTTTCATTACCAACCAACTGGAGAGTCCGGGACGTCTCCATGGTTACCGGGTGATGTTTGAAAGATGTCGGCTTAATAAAAAAAAGTCGTGATCTCATAATTAAATTCAATTCAATTAAAAAAACTTTATTTGTCCCCGAGGGGTAATTAAAGCACACAGTGACAGGGCAGTTGAACAAGGACACGGTGACGTAAAGTGCAACAGTGATTACAGTGTTTAGAAGGTTTTGTGCAAAATTGTAGTCATTTAGATGGGAACTGAATAAATATGTTAAAGGGAGCTTGGGATTGTTAGTGGGCATGGGGGGGGGGTCAAGTGCAGGGAGGCGGGGGGGGAAGTCTGGTTAGGACTTTGGTTATGTCGAGATCACGAGAAAAGTACGTCGACCGTGATCTCGGGATAACGAAAAGAAAAAAGAAGTTGATGCATGTCCTATACGGACTCCCGTAGTTTATTAGGTAAGCATGTCATTATCTTAGGCTGTGTGCTTGAGTTTTGTTATAATTAATTATGCTTAAATCATACTACCATATGTTATAGCAGTTAGATGATAATCCTAGTTTATACGTACACAAAGTACATAACCAGCCTAAGTCCATTTCATATAATTCATGTTCATATGTTGCGTAATATATAAAGAATTAAGCTTCATTATGGAAGCACCATTAAAGACATGATCAAAAAAACAACTTCCTTAGCCGTAGATATTGATAGATACAGTTCCTTAGTGACGACAGTTCCAGCAGTTACCACGCAACGGTTGCTATGTGGGAGTCCAATTTTGAAATAATGATGTCATGATATCAATTATGCATTGTTTTTATATTAATCTTGATATACCTGGTAGAAGAAATCTTGGAAATCTCCGGTAAATGTGACTAATTAGAGCTCATGTATAAATACAGTAAGTAAAAGACAGCATGTATCCGGTCGGTATAGTCTACTCTTATGGCTTTCAGAGATGTTATTGAAAGAACGGTAGCTCGATCGAGATCATTAAATCGCATCAAACTGTTTAAAGTGTATGAGTCCAAAATATGTTTGAGTCCTAAACTTTCAGATAATGGAAATATATCTTGCTGTTCCGTATTTGCCTGGGTGATTACTTGTATAATGTTTAAAATGCAGTTTTAACCTGCTTAGTAATAAAAGCAAATAATAAGATAACCTGTATTGAAAGTGATGATAATAGCAGAGGGGGTTGTCAAGAGCAGGGATAAAAGCATTCATTTCATGAAATAATTTAGAAGTTGTATGTAATCCTAATGAACCCGTAGACACCAGGTCACATTGCTCAGCAAAACTATAGACAGACTTCTTCGTCCTAAATACACGCATACCCTTTAAAATACGTATTGTCACAGCCTATTTTAATTTTAGAAACCGATATGGCTATAAGGTTTATATTATTGGGGACAAATGTATTGGATGCTTATCATCTTGTCTTTTTGCACAACAGACAAGATTATGTCTATATTTGGTTATATCATTTATTTAACCTTTCCGATGGAGCAGCTGCTAAGGGAACAAGGTAATTTTTCTGCTGAAATTGTGCATTTCTATCTTTATATCCCTAGATGGCAGCAAATCCATGCATGCGTTTCCCCTATTTACCATAAACTCCCTAAACCCCCTTTCAGTTTCTTAGTGAAGAAAACATTGTTTCACAAGTACCTAAACTTATGTCCTGACAGGCTCACCAAACATAAATATTTCCATTCAGCATTCAATTTTGTCAGCCCACTAACCCATCGGCTCACTGGAATATTGCCAGTCCAGGCCTGGGCACCAGTATATGTATTTATTATATAGGTATGTATGGTATAGTAACAGATTCCTTTTTTCGGTAAACCACATGCATCACTGTGAAGTTGCACTTAAAAACTGATAATGGAAAATACATTATTGTCAATATGTAAATGAATTCAGAATTGGTACCTTAACCCTGCATTTGTTTCGCTCAATTTAAAAATATTATACCTAAAGTGATCTGTTTTCATGTTCATACAATGATGGCAATATCACATTTGCTCTCAACTTTTGGACCTGTAGACTGTGAAGTTCCCATTGATCCATTCATCTACCCATCTTATAGTCGCTTATCCTGGTCAGGGTTGCAGAGGGGCCTGGAACCTATCCCATGTAGGATAGGGCATAAGGCTGTGGTAAACCCTTGATGGGGAGATCTGTGATGTATACACTATATGGGACATGCCTATGTATTGGGACACACCTTAAAATTATTGAATTCAGGTGTTTCATTCAGACCCATTGCCCCAGGTGTATAAAATCAAGCACCTAGCCATGCAGTCAGGTTTACAAACTTTTGAGAAAGAATGGGTCGTTCTGAAGAGCTCAGCGAATTCAAGTGCCGTACTGTCATAGGATGCCACCTTTGCAATAAGTCTGTTTGTGAAATTTCTTCCCTGCTAGATATTCCACAGTCAACTGTAAAAGGAGCAATGGAAACTCAGCTACGTACCAAGTGGGAGACCATGTCAGGAATCAGAGCGGGTAGCCCAGTGCTGAGGCCATTAGTGCATAAATGTCGCTAATGTTCTGTTGACTCAGTAACTGCAGTTCTGAACTTCCTCTGGCATTAACCCAACACAAAAACTGTATGCCGGGGAGCTTCATGGAATGGGCTACCATGGCAGAGCAGCAAGCCTTACATCACCAAGCACAATGGAGTGGTGTAAAGAAGTGTTTCTTAAAGCAGTACTCAGGGATCCCCAGACGTTCCAGGTTTTTGCTCTCTCCCAATTCACTAGGAGTTGGGAGGGAGCAAAAATTTGGACCATCTGCATGGGGTTCCTCGAAGATTGGTTCTGGCATCTCAGAAAGTCTCCTTCCAGGATTTTCAAACATTACAGTGTCTATAGTTTACAGAGAATGATGAGCAATGTTCTTTTTTATTTATTTATTTATTTTTATTTATTGCCCACCACCACCCCCCCTCTTCGGAGGACAACTTTATTTTACATTACATTCAAGAGCAAAGAGTGTGGCCGCTCCGAACTCACCAGTACCGTGGAAAAGGAGAAAAAAGAAAAAAAGAAAAACAGGGGGGGTGGGGGGATACAGAAACAACAAGCGTAACAATAACAGACATCAATCACCATGGGGAGAGGGGGAGAGAGAAAAAAAAAAAAAGGTATACAGAAATAATAACACTAATAATGTAGGGGGGGTGGAAAAAATGAAGGATAGGGGAATACAGAATACAAACAACCATAAGAAACAACTCATCAAACAACAAGAATTATAACAACATCAGTGATAATAATAATAATTAATAATGTGAGAAATCGGCATTATATATATGTAGCATACACACACGTGATCGTACCCTTATATATGTATATTTCAATTCCTATATCTATAACATACCCTAAAAAGTAATAATAATAATGATATTGATCACTCAACCATTCTTGTATGTATGTGAACTGATTTGTCATTGGATGTGCTGGCATTTGATGCTGTCAGGGGAGGTGATAGCACCCACCCCCCCTCCCCCCTGGCCCAAGGCGAAGGCAGGAGAGCCAGGCAACTGAGGCCACCCTGCCGCCCCCCCGGCACAAGGGCCCACAGCTGCGCATCCCCGAGACAACCACCCGCCCAACCCGAGAGGGAGCCTGCGAGGGACTAAGGGGGCGCCAACCCCCGTACAGTGAGGCCCGCAGAGGGAGGACGGGCGGCGAGCCCCCCAGCCCCAGAGCAATGTTCTAATGTCACTTGTGTGATTGAAAACATGTTAAATTAAAGATGCCAGAGGATAATAATCAGACCCTCTTAAGCTGACAATAAGGCTAATATAACACTGGCATACTGAAGGGCTCCTCTGAACAGACAAGACGTACTGAAGGAAAATCTGAATACTCCACAGTATAAAATAAGTACGTATTTATGCTGTTAAGACAAGAAATTACCATACATTTTTACCCTTTTTTGCTACAAATTTGTACTTGCATACCAGTTATGTCAATCCCTGCTTAGGGCTACATATATATTATGAATTCATAGATACTATTGAGCATTTGCTGAAGTGCAGGGGCAGTGTGTGTCTCTGTGGGCTAAGCCTGTGTGCCTGTAATCATGATGTTGTTGGTTCAAACCCTGCCTCATCACATTTGTGACTCCTTGAGTAAGGCCCTTAACTTCTAGCTTCCTGGGCGCCCCAACAGGTGGACAGCTTGCTCTATGAAGAGCAAGTTGAGGGAGTTGTGAAGACGGTTTCCTGATGAGGATCAATAAAGTGTGTTTCATTATTATAATATAGCAAGAGCAGCATTCACCAACTACACTGGAATGTTTATTAGGTTTTTATTTAGTAGAATTAATTATTTAAAAAAGGATTGTATGGGTAGACCAGAACAATGTGTAAACACATGTTTTGCAGGTCAACTGACCTGAAGAACACCATAGCCTTGTGTGAGCCTTGAATACATGTTCCAATTGGCCAATATGTTAAGGAGGTGATCCAATTGTCTTATTGTATCAATTACAATTCACTGAAAACAAAAAAGCTACTAATATGTACAAAATGTACAAAAAAAAAACCCTGAATGATATGTGCCCAGCTACTAGGTCGAATCAGCTATGCATTTGGTAGACAAATCAATGTTTCTAAAATGATGCCACCCTGAGGGTTGTAGCAGGAGGAACAGCTGGCCTTCTGGAAGTGAGCAAACCAACAGCAATGAACCAAACAGTAGAGCAGGAGTACTGTGCAAAAATAATGCACCCCAAGACTCCAGGATGCGTGCCAAAGGGGAAATATGAGCTTGGTTTCTAAGATTGCATACAAATACCCTGTATCCCTGCATAGCCAGATTAAAAGCACGGTTGCATCTTAAAAGACATGTTTACAGATTGTACCATTATTGAAATTGTTTGGAAAAGTCTATGTTTAATATCCATGTTACATTTGGTCTTTGGTAATATAAATAATCAAAATTATTATGCATACTGAGCTAAAGCTATGGTGTTGGATGGGCATGGATACTCTGGCACATTCAAATGCCTAGCACTTTATAGGGGCCCCTGAATATCCATCCATCCATCCATTTTCTAAAACTGTTTGTCCTATTCAGGATCTTGGGGGGTCCAGAGCCAATCCCAGAGGCCATGGGACAATCAAGTATGGGGCATGAACCCATTGAAGGGTATCTACACACACACACACACCTATGGACAATATGGTAACTTTTTATCACATTTGGACTATGGGGGCAGAGAAACTTTAGTACCCAGAGGAAACGCTGTAACAACACCTGGAGAACATACAAACTCCATTCACCTGGAACAGACTTGAACCCAGGTCCCAGAGATATGAATCAACAGTGCTGACCACTGCACTACCATGCCACCCCACCCATTCCGCATTCCACAACCTTGCACCCCACCTCAGACTATGGAAAATGATAATTTATATGCTTTGGGCATATGTTCCGCTATGCGAAACCTACCAGGCAAATTCTATCAGCAACCTTAGCATGAGGGTCCAGAATTTCTAGGTATGCCCCTAGTAGGACCCACTAGCTGCTAATCTGCTGCAAGCAAATACAAACTGTGCATTCAGACTTTTGGTACCCACCACTGCTGTACCGAACTGTTATTTTTGCACTTGTGGCCATCCCGTTAGCTTGGTCTAGGCATACAGCTCTGACCTCTTATTTTAAATTGGTGTCTTCGGCCACAGAAATCCATTGACTGGCTGTTTTTTGTTCATACCATCATACCATTCTGTCTGAACTCTAGATACTGTATTGTGTAAACATCCCAGGAATGTGGGTCTCTAAGATTCTGCAACCACAACATCTGGCACCAACAATCCCACCATATTCAAAATTGCTTAAATCATGTATTTCAGCTGTTTTCTTGCTTAGCCTAGTTGAAACTCTTAAGTGTGGTGTATATATACTTATATTCAGTTTAAGCTATGTGGTTTACTCTTTAGAGGAGCGTGCTGTCAATATAAACAAGGAGTACATGCATATATATATATATATATATATATATATATATATATATGCCAGATTACAGCATTTTTATCGTAAAATAACGATATCTTAAAAATAAATGATAAATAATTTCTGTTTTTTAAGTGTCTTTCAATGAGGAAGACATGCATTCCCTGTGATCCACAGTAGTGTTAAGAAACCTAACATGGTAGGTCTAAAGCGACAATGGATTAGTGTTCAGTGCACATGATGTGCACAATACTTCCCCATTCCAGACATCTGTCCCAGTCCCATGGCTCAATGCCAAAATTAATAGCATATTTAAGATAGCAGTAAAGGTAACTGGCGCTAGGTCATTTTCAAACACAGATAATCAGGTCTACGACCTGAAAAGAAATATCATTTAGAAACTGTAAAAATAAATAAATAAGTTTGCATGCAAGTCAAAATGTAGGTCTAACAGAATTTCACCCTTATAATGACAAGGAACTTTTATTATAGAAACAGTCATAAAAGCATAACATACAACATTACTGTACACTAGTTTATATAGTTTACCGTTTATTAAGTTCAGGTATTGACTGGTATTTTGGAATTTCTTTGTATTGAAATAACTGTTTAGTGTTACGGAATTGCGATTTTTTTTTATTCGTGTCGATGCGGCTTACGACCGCTAGATGTAGAGAAAAAGCTATTTTCACACTTCTATGCAGCGCTTCCTTTCCTCCCGCGGCAGAGGAGTGCAGTAGACAGCAGTGAAGAACAGTGGCGGTGGAGGGAGGACTTCGCCAGGGCTTGCAGCGCGGTGCTCTGAGTCTGGGAATTGAAAGAATCTCTGCCAGTTTATAGATTGATGTCTGTTTTTTCGCATAGTCATACTGTATTCAGACGCAAGGGAAAAAAACTTTTAAGTTAAAGTGTTTCACGGAGAGAAGAGAAGTAACGTTTCAGCATATGAATGTGTCCCATCTTGAAATGTCTGGATCGTACTGCAAAAGTTTATATGCCTTCAGTGGAGAGCAACACCAGCAAGGACTGAGGTTTGAAGTCGGGGAAATTATTAAAATAACGCAGGCACTGTCTGGAGGTTGGTGGGAAGGTGAGAAAGATGGAGTTACCGGATGGTTTCCTGCAAGTTACGTCCAGGTTTTAGAGGTAAGCCCATAAATAGTACAGTGTTGCAATATTTAACATTTCAGATGTAACACTGTAACATTCAGTTACACGGAGAAGATAATGAGTTGTCACTGAAATCTGTAATTGCTTGGAAAATATATTACACAATAACTGTGACTCATGTGGCGACAAAATGAATCGGAAAGATTCAGTAAAGAAACTGTCGCAATATTCCCGACTGTTTATTGTCTGTCGAAATGAATAAATGGCGGTAATTCCGCAAAAACGGACTTTTACGTATGCAATACAGGCTGCATTGCTTCACTTGGAAAAGGAATGATGGGTTATTACATTTCCCGAACGTACAGGAAATAATGACACATTTTCTCCTGCTCTTTCTTTCGCTGCTAACACACCTGCATAACAAATGTTCAGTTCTGAGTACAACGTTGACTTTTCTCGTGTTTTTCTTTAATATTACTATATAAAACAAGTTTGACCACTTGTTGCTCAAAGAAACTTAAGCCTGTCTGCGGTGCACGTGCCGTTAAAAAGGGTCTCTGAAGAAAAAGATGTAAAAATGATTACTGAAACATAAAAATACATTTACGTTCAGACATTGCAACGTTATATATTTTCATGTCCTGGCTGCATATATTGTAGTCAACGTTTACCATGCAGTCGTTATTATTATCAGATTTCAAAAGAAAAACGTAGCCTACTGGTTTTTAATGAATTTGTGGTCTCCTGATCTCTCTCGTGAGAAGTTGTGGTTTCTCGGAAAACTTCTACTTGTGGGGCTGAGAGTTACATTTTCTGCACCTGCTTTTCAAACTTTAATGTTCTCTATATGTTTCCATGGATTTCCATTGAGTGTTGGTGTCCTCCTTTGGTTTCATTGATCAAAATCAACTTGGGGGAAGTGTGTAGCTCAGTAAGTTATAGGGAATTGTGCCTGTCTCCAGGAGGTCATGGGATCTAGCCTTTTGGCCAGAATACTAATCATATCACAACTGGGGCCTTGAGCAAGGCTCTTAACCCTATAGCTGTCCAGGGGTACTGGCTGAGCTTGCTTTCTAAACCCTGTTTGTACAGTATCTTGTTCAAGATTAACTTTGTCTTTTACCATGTGTTTCCTGGGTTAGGCACCAGGCTTACTGCAACCCTCTACTGAATACGCAGTTATATAAAATTATTTGGTGGATTAATAATATGGTAAACCTTTGTGATACATGTGTGCACATATAAAAGTATTATGCTGGTAATCAAAGTGGTAAACGTAGTTTGCAATTAATAAAATACCAAGGACAACTAAATAATTTAAAAATGCATTATTCTGTATCAGATATCTAATATTTAAATCAACATGCAGCAACAAATTATCTGAATGCCTTCCTACCCGAGGTAACATGATGTTGATCTGTACAAGACAGCAGTACAATTAGTATAGAATAGCAGAATTCATATTTTCCATTTAGTTGAGATCATAAATATTTGCTGAAAAACATGGTGTTTGATTTTGGTGCTGAGCGAGTTTATAGTGTGTAGGCCTATACAATATAATAGATAGGGGAGTAGTTTGAAAGGAATTCAGTGTGATTTCAAGTCAGAATGTACAGAATTTTTACTGTTTTTGAGTTTTGTACAGACGATATGAAATATTGGACTGTATTTCAAAGGTTTGTACTAACCATACATATGTTTCAAGTGTTATTAGCCTCTGAGTATATAATAGGAGCTCTGTGTATGTTGACCTTAAAAGTTAGGAAGAAAATATGGTGTTTTGTATTTACAGTTATTTCTGTTTCTGCCCTGGATCATAACAGAATTTCATGTGAGAAGCAGCTGATATCCATTACTGTCAGAGAAATGTATGCTGGTTCAGAAAAATGTCTTGTAATGCTATAATTTACAAAATGGCTGCAGTAATGATTGTATGACTAAAGGTTGCGTTGCTTCCAATTTGTCATAAGTTTAAAACAGTGAAACACTGTCAAAGTTAAATAGGCTTAAAGAAACATTGAAACTACCTGCCACAAGAGAATGAGTTTTTATTGCATTTCAATGGCTTTCTGTGTTGTGTATTTCTTATCTGTTGTGGAATTTCCCTAAATTAAATAGAAAGGAAAGAAATATGTGTAATAATAACTTGTTATTACAGATACACATCACACCTTTTTTTGCACTTGTTCACTTTACGCAAGGGTGTGAGTTTGGCCGGAACATTGGGGGAGGGGGGTAGGGGGGGTTGAGGTCTCCACCCATGATTATTGGGGGGGTTGTATTAGCTGGTTTTGATTTTTTGGGGGGGCTACATCCCCCCCCCCATCCCCCCCGTAATTTTTGCCCATGACTTTACATCCTGTTGAAAATGACCGAGTAAAAAAAAGTTGAGCAAAGCAAATCATTCCTTGCATCTGTAATACAGCTATTGGAAACATTAGTTTATTATTTATTTATTTATTTATTTATTAACTGTCTACTATTGCCATTGACCTTGTTTGGGGTAACTAACAATTTATCTTGGTGGACGTCATATTTCATTACTGTGTAATAGTGTGAAAACCAAAGGAATAGTCCACAGAAATGTGTAGATGTAATTTTTAGTGTTTTAGAAGTTGAATAATATCTCCTTTATGGAATCAGCAGTATGTTTGGGTTTGATAGTGTGGGGTGTTGGTGAGGAGACACGTTAAATAAATGATAAAAATGTAAAAAGTACAAATTATATCTTTATAAACAGGATGTGTGTATAAACCTTTTTATTGATTACTTGAGGGTTACCTGTATGCAAAGAACAATGGAAAACAAAATTGTTTAGTGGATTCTAAGCAGACCTGCTGTGCATAATTCCTGGGCCCCCAACACACGCAACCCCCCACCCCATGCCTTGGAAAACTTACCCATTTGCTCCCCCGAGATTTCTGTCTTCCACAGTAATGTTAATTAAGGTATTATATTTGCTAACCATATTGATTTTCTTGAATTTATAGTCAATAAGCTAGAAGATAGGTGATGTAAACACAGAAGTCCTTCACAGACTCAAGGTCTTGAGGTCATGCCCATTAGTGATTTAGCTAGTGATCCATCCATCCATCCATCCATCCAATCATTTATTATCTGTCTTCCATGACTGCTTGTGGTGACCCTGAAGCCTATGGTTGGGATGCAAATCTACCATTCTTGAACTAATCTAGCCTGGAATGTTAACAGCATTTACTCTCATCCATATATTACGCATAGTCATTATATTTCATTTGTATTCAGCAGTAAGAAAGTTGTAAGTCATTTGGTCATTTTTGGGTTTGAATGAAGACAATGGGAATGCTTGCTGTTTTTTTTTTTTTGCAGTCATTGACATTGTTTTCAATGCCAAGAATGCTTCTCAGCTGTGTGATGCAGCATTTGGGGAGAATTAAACAATAGATGGCTTTCTACTAGTAGGTCAGGTGGGCTTAACTGTGATCCCTTCCATCTTCACAAATAATACAGGCCTAATTGTTGACATAGGCAATATGCAGAGTTGGTCCAATGTATCCGTTTCACTTACAACAACAAACAGACACAGTTTAAAAACATTTATGCTATCTTAACATATTTCTTTTATTGATATCTAGTACAACAGAAAACAACCATGAATTTGTTTACTGAAAGTGTATTGCAAAACATATAAAATTCTTAAAATGATCTTTTAGGAAAGCTGTACTAATTGAAAAGTCGTTGTGATCGAATACTGTATTTTTCTTGCAAAACGTGGATCCTGTACACATGAGTGGCTTAATATCCTTAATATAGCTGTTAAATACCCAAGGTTGCCATCTCTAATTAGTTAGACAGCTATCTGTGCTGTCACTGCTAATGTTTTTTGCTTTGTAATGCTGGGATGAGACATGGTGTTTATAGCGGTTAGCCAACTGTCTGGGCTCAAATACATCAGCTCACCGTTCTTCAGCCCAGAACTCACGAATAGAAGTCCATGTACTCTGCAATTTTGTAAAATACCCTCATACTTTTCAAGCATCACTAGCAACACTGTATCCTAATATGCGCAGAATGTTTGGTCTGGCTGCCTTTGTCAATATAAACTTTCTATGTATAAAGTGTCTTTTGACTATTTGAACAAAACCCCACCTTGATTACACTTCTTCACAGAGCCACAGCACTAGAGGTCTGGACATTGGCAAAAATGTCGGCATGAAGTGTGGAAAGAGCACACTGCTGGTGTGGCCCAAACCCGGAAACATGGGACAGCAGCAAGGGTGTGTCCTGTTCTACCGGGGTAATGGAAAGTGGGTGAATTTAAGCTTCATTATGTGCTTAGGTGACTCCTGTGAGCGGCCTTTTTTTGGGCACTCTGGAACTGAGCTTCATTTCTATGCTAGGGCAGCAAACCAAAGTTCGTAGCACAATAATTCTAATGCGTACTTGCTTATGTGTATTTACGCAATCTGTGTTGAGCATCTTATTTAATTTTCTTAAATGTTTTTGACCTTTCCAGCTAAGAAAAATGACAGATTTCCTTCTTTTATTAGAATAGTGGTTTTGTAAAAGCTAGAACTTTATTTGTGCTTTTTGGTATTTTCCCCCTTAATATGCAATAGCGTGCAGCTCCCTGTTCACCAACCACAAACACAGGTACAGAAGGATCTGCATTCCATGCATTTATGAGAGGAAGTCATTAGATTGAACAATGCTGCAGTAGATTGAGGCAACAAGTGGTTTCACTTTTTAATGGTAAATAACAAAGTGGGAAAAATACAGCTGGACAAATAGTAGGCATTTAAAGCGCACTCATTTTATTGTCGCATTTTAATTTTGTTATCACCTAGCTCATGAAAACGAAGGCATTTACATCTACATGTATATACTAAACTTAAGTATATTTGACATGAGTTTCCTTTGAAATGATTATTCAAATCCAACTCTTTCAGTATCCACCTATAGTCATATAGTTTGAGTGAAGTGGTGCCTAGTGAGAGTGTGTGAGAATGTATGTGAATGTGTGTGAATGTGTGTGAATGCCTCACGCTAGCATGAGG